GAAAGAAAATGGCATTTAAATCCTCCCTATAGCACGCAGCTGCCCACAGATCCCTCCCCACAAACACCGAGGGCGGAACAGCTGAGTCCCTCCTGTTTAGAGGCCAAACTCTCCTCTTTTTGTCACAGGCAAAATGTTGATGCCTCAAAAGTGTAGGGCACACATTTTGTTCTGCCTTTTACCCACATCCCATGATTCACAATAATGTAGTTGAACAGTATACAGTGAATACGACCAGGTTAGCAAAAATATAATTTAATTTACACTTTGATTCAAAGGTACAGCGTGAGCTACAGAATATAGTTTTAACAAACACGGCTCAGAACAATGCTTTGCATGATGTTGCAAACAAAACTTAAATAAAACACAACATAAAATATGGCCAAAATAATAAAAACGATATCAATAGCTGTAAATAATAAAAGAGTAACCAACTATTAGGAACATAAATAAAATAAGTTAGTATATTTAAAAAAGAAAACAAACAGGTATTGCTCTAGTCTATTTAGAGCAGTGTGGCCTAGCCCTCTATACATAGTCAAAACAAAAGAAATATAAAATTGCACCGTTTAGACATTGTAACACTGCGACAAAGTCTCTGTTGGCGGAGCCATTATTGCTACATGAGTTGTAGAAGTGTCGGCCCCTTGTTTCCTTTCATCCGCTCTGCAGATAAACACAGGTGGACTGCTGCATGAAGTGCAAACATCTGTAAAGGGGGAAAAGAGAAAGACAAAATTAGCGTTTGTTCCACAGCTAAACAACAGCTTTACATAGAGTACGGGCATTTAAATGAAGGTGAATCCAACTGAATCCGTTACTTTACTACAATTAGTAATACGCAAATAATTATGAATTACTCAAATCGTAATAATATCGCACTGACATAGAAAGTCAGATGCACACAAAGCTGAACATACCATCTTATTGTTTTACGCGGCGTTACTTCAATGCTGGTGGATGTGTCCGCTTGAAGCGAGCCCCGGTCATCCTGCTTGGACTCCAGGGTCCTTTTTCTTTTCGGGAAGAAGTCTGGTGGAAATCAATAGTATACGCCGTTAGACATGTTTGCTCGCATTTCACATCGAGCCATTAAAACAGCTCCCACTGTTTGCATCAATAGTTTCAAGGCATTTAGCC